GACTAACCTAGGTGACTATATCAATAAGAAATCATTAGAAGTCTGTCCAACCAAGATGTCATATTTGTCCCTACCTACCATACGTGTCCAGAATTGTTTTATACTTTGTTTCACCTTATTGTTTTAACACTCTTTAAGTATCTCCACATCTAATCCCACCACTAGTGCACTCGTGAACTTTCAATATTATATACATTAAGGAAGTTTCTTGCTTTTCTTGCGACTAATTTGATAGTAGTGTGTTTGGTCCAACTACCAACTGGTAGACATTGATCTTGTGTTGATTTTATTTAGTACGACCACAACTTAATCATTGCTCTAGTGTCTATCATTGGCTATCATTTTTTTTAATTACTTCCAAATTAGGACTCAAATATCATTATTTTCTACCTTTGGACCTATGAGTGTGTCTCTCTGCTGTTCTATCTAGTCTTATAGGGTAAATTGTTCATATTTGTACATCATATATTGATGCTGATCTCGGGTTTAGATAGGCTAAATTGTTGTTGCTCTTAGAGATATAGAGCTTTTATATGTTACGTGTTTAAGAACAAGAAGGATGTCATTCTGAAAGGGTTTCTGGATTATGCAGCACTATCGTTTGGTTTAGTTAAGTTAAATCCAAAACCAAGGATTTCCAAAATATTGCTTTCAAAGACAAATTGCATTTTCTGGAATTTGGTTTGAGTCTTTATATTGTCAGTTTGAGTCTTAGAGAGTCTTTACAGAGTTTATACTATTAGTCGTTTATTTTTTCATAATGATTACATAGATTTTTTGGTTTTAGCATTTAGGTAAAGTATGGTAATTTGGATCTTTGTAGGAATTTTCTGTTTGGGTTAATTCACTATTTTGGTTTTTAATAGTTTAGTTAGTCAAGGAGTCAAATAAGGATACTCTTCTGATTTGGTAACATTAGGAAAAGAGTGTTGTTTCTATTGCTGGTTTCGCTTTAGAAACTTGTACTATTGTACTTCTCACAAAGAGAAGACAGAGATTTCTGACATTAATAAAGTTCTTGCAAACTTGGTATCTTCTTAGGAGCGATTGCTAGAGTTTCCTATTCCGTAATTCTAGATCTCTTGTTTTGAGCAGTTTTTTTTAAATAACGCTTTTTTTCTGATTTTAATTAAGATCTTGTTCCTGCAATTTTTGCCTTTAATATTCTGATTTTCAAAACGTTCTAAGCCTAAGAATCAGTACTATAAACATGTTGACCTGCCAACAGCTTGTGCTGCTTCAGTTTGTACCACGTGTACTTGAGGTTTTAGGTTGGATGTTGATAACTGGTTTGGTTGGAGGAAACCCTTTTGGGATGTAGTTGATATGTGGAATCTTTATTCCAATGTTGTGATTGAGCCTTCCTACCTTAAGACATCATATTTTAGTTTGCTTTGATTCCTGAGAATGCGATCCTACAAAACGGCTTGAATTTTCTACTATTTGGTTCCTGTACTTGCTACATTAATTTTTATGCCTCTTACTTTCTTCGTTTTTTGCCTTCGCTCTTGTTCATTATTTTCCTGTCATTTGTTACTCACATGCTTCTGGTGTAAAAAGTGCCCTACCTTCCCTCCTCTGACCCAGAAAAATATAATATAAAAAAAGCTCCTAGATCTTTTGCAGCCTATAGTAGGGTTCACCCTGGGATGTTCATTATGTGTATATGTGTGTCAATGGATGGATGGAGAAAAGAGAGGAGTTGAAATTACAGCCAGAAAATTTTTGCAACCTTTTACCTTTTGATTTGTCTTGGGAATTTTTAAGCGTCTACATCTCCTTGCTGCAGCCCTCATTCAGGTGAATTCAATGGAGAGAACATCAGACTTGGATCTCGAGGTGACAGCTATTATGAGTACCTCATCAAAGTCTGGCTTCAGCAGAGAGGGAGAAATTCAACATACTTGTTTGACATGTATGAGGAAGCGATGAAGGGTGTCAGGCACCGTCTTGTTCGGCAATCTGTCCCTAATGGATTGGTCTTTGTAGGAGAATTGCCTTATGGATCTCAAGGTTCTTTTAGTCCAAAAATGGATCACCTGGTAAGTGATATTCTCATTGTTCTTCAATTCAACTCAACTAAACATATATGGTAGGAGAAAAGTGAAGCAGAAGCTTATCTTGAAATGGCTACTACTTTGTCATTAATTTGAAATTTGAAGTTTCTGATAATTTCATTCATTATTTGGCTTTTTATATCATTGACATTGGCAATCTCCAGGTTATGATATATGTATAGAGGAGAAAGAATAAGAGATAATGAGTCTTATCTCTGTAGAATCAGTGTCCCTAAATGTTTTGGCATCCATGCTGCTTGTTTAGGTATGTTTCCTGCCTGGTGCCCTTGCACTTGGTGCAACTAAAGGCCTAACCAAAGACAAGGCTGTTAAAGAAAGCATCCTCACTTTTGAAGACCTAGAGAATTTGAAGCTTGCAGAAGACTTGACTAAGACATGTGTGGAAATGTATTCAGTAACTTCTACTGGTCTTGCTTCAGAAATTGTTTACTTCAATATAGAGGTACATCATAATTGTTCAAATTTACTAATTATGCTATTTTAAAATGTTAGCTGCAGACAAGAAAGAATTCTAGACAGAAATTGTCAGATATCAGCAACTATCAAAATAGATTGGTTTAAATACAGACACTTTTTTGCTGATTTTTCTATAGTTCGAAAGAAAGATAAATTAAAGGAACATGTTGCTTGATAAACTTTTGCTTTTGTTCAATACAAAGTGATTCTCACTCCTCATCTCATGTCTCAGTGAGCTTGGACAGAATTTTTAAATATTCAGGTTGATGATGTGTCCTCCTATAGATCAAAATCCTTAGTGTTTTGTTCCTCTAGGATTTTATTGTCTATTTAAAAATACGTGCTATCCTATTGTCGCCCTATTACACACACACACATATAACAGAATATGTGCATATTTTCTGATAGGTATTCTCTTCTTAGACAGTCCAGATAACTGTAAGAGTCCTGGATCTAGTTTCCGTTTTGTCATACTGTTAGCATGATCACAGTTACTGAAAGTTGGATTCTGATTATAATTCTTTCTGTGCCCTTCAAGCGATGGTCTTGTCTTTTTTTTTTGAAAAAAAACCAAGAATAGGTGGGGTTAGGCTTGTTTTAGTAGACAAAACTGAGTGCATCAGCAAGCAAATCAAGATCAGTGTATTCTATCCAATCTAAGGATTCATCTAGTGAATTTTGTTATTGAAGTTGCTATGTAGACTTCATCAGATTGTGAATCATATCCTAAATTTGCCAAAAAAATCTGCAAGTTGATGTCTCTAGAAATATGTTTGAAGCTGAATCTGTGTGGTGTTATCTCCCTTTTGATATGGCATTTAATTTCGTCTAGTCTCCAAGGCACGTTGCATGAACCAGTCATGATTTGTATAAGACTTGTGAATCAATTTCAACTTCAACCATAAACAGACTTGGTACACATAACTGAATCCCCTCTTTTAATGCAACTGCTTCAGCATGCATGTTTGTTTGATGGGCGTAAAAACTTGAAAAGGCTGCAACTAGCCTGCCTTTGTCATCTTTAATTGCTTCTCTACTGCAGCTAGTCCTGGATTCCCCTTGTTACTCCAACATTTAGCTTGAAACGAGAAGCCAAAGGGGACAACCAAAAAACAATTTTGATCTTTGGGAGTTGTAGGTTCTGTAGCTTTACTGCTAAGCCGTTACGTAGAAGATCAATATCCTCATACCTAGATCTTGTATAAAGGGAATGCCAGAGAAATTGAGTGCAGCAAGGAGAGAACTTGCTGCAATAACTTTGCTACTATTTCTGCATAAAAAGATTTATTCCTGTCTTCAAGTTCAATGGTAGTGTTTTTCATTTCATGCTGTTGATATGGGGTTGTGATTGTATAATATCATGCATTTATTTCTTTGGTCCTTGTTTACAATTGAAAGGGCTTCTACAACCTCAATCTTCGTAAACTGCAATTTTTCCATCATACTGCTAACAAGCAGGCTATTAATTGTTTGTCAACACTGCTACATTTGTTTTGCTGCCAACCAAAATTAACAGAATTTTGTTGGATATTTTATAACCAGGGAAATTCTGAAAGTGGTCCTGATGGTGGAAACAAGAGTTCCGAATATGTGCGTGACATTATCATAAAACCAGCTGACAGGCACAATCTTTTGCGTCCTGAAACAGTTGAATCATTGTTCATCTTGTATCGCATTACAGAAGATCCCAAGTAAGTTGTTCAACTAATTCTACTACTTTCTTCTCTTTTTTAACATAATATTAATAGTGGCTATGAACATTTGCTGCACCATTTTGGTTGCTTCTGCAGATATCGCGAGTGGGGTTGGCAGATTTTTGAGGCCTTTGAAAAGCATACAAAGGTTGATACTGGTGGTTATACATCTTTGGATGATGTCACAACAATACCTCCACAAAGAAGAGACAAGATGGAGACTTTTTTCTTGGGTGAAACACTGAAGTACTTGTATTTGTTGTTTGGAGACGAAAGTGTTCTTCCTTTGGATGAGTTTGTATTTAATACTGAAGCTCATCCATTTCCAATCCTTGGCAATCTTGTAAAGCAATGATTCTACAAGAAGCATAATGACTGTAAGACCACAAGTCATTCTTTGGTGCTCAGACTCAGCTCATGAGGAATTCTCTCTGCATCTAAAAGCAGATGAATTTGGCTATGATACCGAGACATAGGACATACAACTAATTTCTTCAATAGCTCAGGTGTAGCTACTTCTGCACCGTTATATATGTATGGCTTTCTGGATCAATTTCAATTTTGCAAGATTTTATACCTCAGTGTATCAAATTACACAATCAAGTAGACCATTTTTTCCTGTAACTGAGAAGTAATGATCATATGACTTGACCAGAGTTTATATACAGTCAGGCCCATAGTTAACAATTTTGTAAGATGACGTTAATCTACAGTTGCTGTGATTGGAAATCCTCTTTATTTACATTACACTTCAGCTTCATGATTGTTAGGTCATCAGGCTCTATGCTTTTTTAATTGCTAGGAGCTGAAAAACAAATGGTCACCATCCCGGATGGCATTTACGTCTTCTATTTCTGCATCTTCTGCATTTTGAACTTTTGTGAAGTTCTGACCTCCAAATTTGTCACCTGCAATTCGACAGTGCTTGAATATCAAATGACATTCTTTTACTCTTTTACTTTGCAAAGTCTACTATTTAGCTATCAGTGGGACAAAACCACATCCCCCAGTAAAGTGTATACAAAAAGTAACACTTTGTATTTAGCTTATTTTGTGTTAATTGCATTTATGAGTCTTTTTATTTCACATTTCAGGTTTAATTCAATCCCATTTTAAGGTAAAAAGCTTACCTGCTATCCTGAGCAGTTCTTCCACTGAATCTGGTAGGAGTATTAGCTTCCCTAACAGCTTCTGCCCTGTGTTATGTTGTTGAATCTTCATATAAAGGGTGACTCTCTTCCTGGTGAATTCTGTAATATCACTATGACTCAGACATTTAATATTACTTGAGCTAATATCTATTGGATTTCTGTGGAAAAGTTTGGGACAGTTCCTAATTTTGGTTGGTTTAAATGGACCTATCCCTGTTATTTTTGCCTTTTCAGGTACAAGAAGCTCATTTGTGCTCATCTGGTTTTTCTCTGTTTTTGTTACTGGAGGAAAGGCCGTATATTCTTTTGTTTGCTTCTTGTTCTGCTAGAGCAATCGGTGTCAGTGCTGTTGCATCTTGTTTGTTGACACATATCTCTTTCTAGCAAAATTTTAACCATTTCAAGGTGACCCTCGCAACAGCTTTAATGGTGCAGTTTGGCCATCATCATCCGTTAACTCCATATTCTCACCATATTTACTGCTATCACAACAATATCCTAGTTGTTTCTCCTTCATAGCTTCTGAACTACGAATATTGCAATCCACCATATTCAATGTCTCTAAATTGGCATGCAGAGTATTTTCATGGCCAGCATGCATCTGAGTTGCTCCTTTTGGTCCTCCATGAAGCCAATCACTGTGTACAGACCATCAGTTTGCTGCTCAGTGTAGCCTAAGCTTCCGAACCTTTGAATTTCTGTTGGTAAATTCGTGAATGCTATGATATTAGGTTTGATCTTCAGGATGCGGGGGCTAACATATAGTTAAATGCATCTGCAACATCACCTGAAAAAGATTGTCCAATGTTACATGTTTATCTTCTGCATTTGCTTGAAGCATATTCATCAATGCAGTCCTGTTGAGTCGTAGTAGTTGAGAAACTTCAGTGGTTCTAACAGTGAAGGGCTGGGGTCTTCCACACAAAACAGCTATTTCTCCAAAGATTTCCCCTGTGACAGCCTTTCCAAGAACCTTCATGTACAAGGGATGCTAGGTTAGACTCTTTTTTCTGCAAAATTTTAAGGATGAATATGCTGCTGGAAATCAATTTACCTGATCATGGCCATCAACTTTGGCTATCAAATCCTGCAACCATGAATTTCGTGAATTAGGAATATACATAAAACCATAAACTGGTGAATACCTAAAACATGCAAAGATGGTTACAAGACTACTTACCACTGCACCAGAAACTAATATGTAACAGATCTGTTGGGTCTCATTCTGCAGTATAACATCTTCCTTGGGAGGAAAGTATTCTGCTTCCATTTCAGGAACCTTCCAACAGCAGAATACATTCTATTGTTACCAAATTTGATAACCCGTAAAGTAAAGAAGCTTCCTTTTCCACGCATTGATGATTTATTTACATAAGGTCAATCGTTAAAGGTGAACTAAATCTTCTGCTTAAGAAGGGAAAAATGAAATAAATGAAAACAGTGAAAGGTACAATACCAATTGGAAGATGAAATCATATGAAACGCCCTGGAAAAGGTACACGCTTTGGACGATGGGGAAAAATAAGTAGTGAGCAATGCTTAAACGGATGGCTTTGGGGAGGCCATTCAAGGTTTCTTCTTGTTTTAGGCCCTCTGTTTTGAACTTAAGGCATACGTGGGCTAACATTTGATCTTGTATACGCGGGGGTAACTGATTTCTTTTTGCAAACTCTGAAGCTGCTCTAACTGTATCCCTCTACAGCATAGAAATCAAGACTGATTAAGATTGCATTCAACGTTTCTAACTGTATCATCTCTGTGTAAAGGGAGGGAGAGAGAGAGAGAGAGTGTGTGTGTGTGTGGGTGTGTGCGCATGTTGCCTGTGTAGGTGGGCAGCATCTGTGTGGTGACTAGAAATTTATGATCTTTTAAAGGAGTCCTATTCTATAGTTGCAAGTGTTCTTCATTTCGCACTTACCAAGAGAGCTTTATTTGCTCGTGTGCTCATGGGCGTATTTTCTATCTTGTCATAGTAGTTTTCAATAGAGAATTCACCATAAATCCAAAGACGTGAACAAGTCTTCTAGGTTTCTCTAAAAATCTACATAATATGTGGAGAGTATTCCTTTCTCTTGTCTGGTGAACATTAAACTTAAAGAGAGAAGGAGAGAGAACATACGAAGTTCCTAGTACGGCTGGTCCAGTGAACTACAAGATTCGTCATGTTTCCTATGATATAAGAAGTCAATCCCAAGTTGAATAGCATATAAAAGATATCAAACAGCATCTCTCGTGGGTTCTCGGCATGGAAGTCCCCATAACCAGTTGTAGTTAGTGTCACAATAGACCAATATATTGCAGTCACATATCTATCCCAGAGACTTAGTTCTTTGAAATTTGGGTACACTGAACCTATCCAAGTTCCTTTGGGATCCGGATATCTAGCTGCAATCATATAGTAAAAGCATCCAGCACAATGCACTGCAAATAATGTTACCTGAGAGATACCAAGTATATTAGCAATGAAAACATCCCGCAGATATATCAGAATTCTGCATCTATAAAGGAGAGGATCGAATAGTGGAAGTTAGGATGGGTGAACGAAGGCGGTGTTTAAACCAAGAAAGTAATACCTAATATTTGATCTACTGCCAATATTGGAACTTGAAATTTACTATATGGTTCAAATGTATGGACATATCAGTTGGCTTACTGAGATGAGTTTTGTGCATCGTGTCCAGAAGTAGCTGAATCGAATGTCCTTCTCTAATCTGTCAAAAAGAAACTAGCTATTTAGAATTTTGTTTGTTTTGGCAGATTTTTATGAGAGGGAATGGGTCAGTTAGGACATATGTGAACATGGACCTGGCAAAAAGTGAGCTGACTCTTCGGAGACGCCAAAGTCTGAGCATGCTGAGAACTTTAAACCCAAGACCGCCGCTATGATGTGTGAAAAGGAGGCTAATGGATTGAAATGGCACGGTGGAGCAGACATCAAAAATGAACCAGGTGGATATATACCTGTAATACATCCGCGGAACATGTGATAGCAGCTTAAATGACTGCAGAGAGCAAGTTAGTGACTACTGAGATATCTTGTAAACGAGTACTGTTAGAGCAAGCCTTGTGGTGTTACCTGACGGCTATTGCTTTGGGATTATCAACAAGCAGATAAGATTCGCTATCAAGGTATGCTACGAAGAATGTGAGAAAGATGTCAATGGCAAAGAAGGTGTTGACAATGTTGTCAAAAATGGACAATGCATCTTGCTTGTAAGTCAGGAATGCGAACTCAAAGGGCGATATCCAGGCCGAGTAAATAACCAGGATAACCAGAAACATTTCCCAAGCCCTGAAATGAGAATAAATAAATAAACATACATATGAGGATTAGTGGCTAGTTTACCATGTAGTTGCCTTTGAGTAGTACTACATCTGGACCAAGAGTCATCACCTATAACGAGGATTGAATGGTGAAATTATGCGTTTTCGTAGTTTGGTTGCTTGGTTGATTCGGACTCCAAGAGATGGGAGTAGATCGGTAGAGAAGAAACAACTGTCAGTTTTTGCATTCAGTAGGTAGTCATCAACACAAAACCGTTTAAGGAAGTTTTTAGCATAGGAAAACAACATTTTGATGAGTTTGAATCCCCCTTAAGAGTTAAAAACTTAAGGTTGGTTCTGTCAAACTTGCCCAGACTATGCCCTTTATCAGAGTCTATTTATAGTGAAGTAGTTGGCAGGTCGCACACGGGAACCGGCTACTTTTCAATACTTTAGCTTTAATATGCTTCCTGTGATATGGCTTTGAACGTATTTAGAAAGATTATACAACTAGTTGGAGTGATTACGGTTCTACAAAGGAGAAAACTGACAAAAGGGGTAAAGGGAAATAGTGAAGTATGCATGAATTTTGGATTTTGTTTAACAACAAAACTCGATAACCAATGGAAAAAGGACGAGTTATGGTTGGAAATTAAAAGCCAACATGGGACGGCACTTGAAGTGGCAGACACGAATTTCTCTGAAATGCAGACGAAGAGGGAGGCGAATTGCTGTACTCGTTTTAGGTGTGGGGATTGTTGACAGTAATGGTGATGGTGGGAGCTCCATCATCAATAAATGTAAGGATTTGAATCATCTCTTATATACATTTACAGGACAGATTTTAGCAAAAGTTTTAAGTGGTTTTCTTTTCAGAATCTAGAAATGGACCAGGAAATTTTAGTAGGATGAGCTGATAGCATTTTTGTGGAGGCCACGTGGACCCATAGTGCATCCTCTAGAGGAAGAATGACAAATGCAAAATCTTCTTCGGAAGGAATGCATAAAAAGCTGCAGGTAATGTATATGATCTCTAAATCTCTTCTTAAGATGAGATGTTGTTTGTTTATCCAATGCAATCAAAACCATAAGAGTGAAAATGTATCTCCTCCATGTATCCATACAGCCCCTTTTTTCTCAATACCTCTCTTGGTCACTGTCTCTATATATATGGACAAATTAGAAAGTCAATTTTGTTTCTAGTTCACATTTGCAGAGTCTTTTACCATTTGGTTGCTCTTTCTATGGGAGTCCAATCGCAGCCATTTAGTCCATGTGTTTTTCTCTCGTCATTAATTTAATAAGGCTTTCCACAGGTTAACTGTATGTACTATGTATAGTGGATCTAGGTTCATAATGGTACCAACTACGAAGCCGAGGCATTTGCTGTTATAAGTTATAACAGAGGTGACAGTAGAGTTTAGTGTAGACACTGCTATAATAGACCTGGACACTAATGTAGACGCTAACATACTAAGATAAAAATAAAATAAAATAATTTTCTCTGTCATTAAAATTCGTGTCCAACAATTTATTGCGCCTTTACATATTGTTGTGTTAGTATTTACATTTGTTATAATAGTATTCACATTCCTTGAGTTAGTGTCTGCACTTTATCCTATTACCATTGGCAACAGCAAAGACTCTGATCCACAGACTACCAAACATGCTAGAAAAATAAAGTCCATTTGTACTTTTTTTTTTAGTTGGAAAGTCCATTTGTACTCAATTAGGAAGTGCACATTTAACTGGTCATATTATTAAGATTTTTTAAATTTATTTTATAGTGTAAATGGGAGGGTTCAAATTTAGAAACTCTTATTTATACTTTTCTCTCCGAACTATCCAATCCATCCTTCCTCCCTCTCCCACAGTCCTATTATTAAGATATACATTTAGAAATCATATCCATGTTCAGTAAATTCCCAAGCCAAATCTTCTTTTCAATTTTCTCATTTGAGAATTATATACAATTTTAAATTAATAATAAACAAATATATATAGTGGATCATATTAACTTACTATAGCTTCTTTTTAAAAAAAAAAAGGAAAAAATGTTTCCTAAAATCTTTTTATAGTTATCTTGTTTATTGCAAATCAATTAAATGCTTCTCTAATCTATGCATTTTTTTAAAGTTCTTTTGAGTTTGGATTCCATCTTTGGAACAAAGATATAATTTAAATAGAATAACTTCTTTATACATTGTTAGCGTATAATTTTTTTGACACTAACAAGTTTAGATCATACCACATAACATAAATTTAAATTTGAAATTCAAATCATGTACATATGGCATACATCCAAAGTTGCTAATATAAAAGTGCATAAAATATTGATCTATTTAAATATGATTTGCCAACATCACTTTAAAAATTACCTTGACTAAATCAAACAAGGGCACACTCTTGAGTTAGAAATCTGGTCTTCTACTTTTTTGAGTTTTACAATTGATACTATCACTAGTTTTTGTTTTTTTCTTTACTATCAGTAGTTCTTATCTAATCTAAAATAATTCTTTAATTCTCGGGCAATTACTTTCTCAAAAGATCATGGTAACAATTTCTTTGTATAGGTCGTACATGTATGTCATCTTTTCATCATCACATTTCTTTTAATAATTATAGGAAATATATACCATATTGAAATTTATCCTCTAAAAAAATCATGATGGCAAGTGCATCGAGGAAAACCAAAAAATGCGTTGGGACGGATAAGGGGGGACTGCTGTAATGGATCTACAATAAATGTTTCTTCTTTCTTTTTTATCTTTGCTATAATGTTTCAAAATATTAATGGTTATTTTTTTGGATTAACTTTTTATATAATAATAATATGTGACTATTTTACACAAACAACTATAAATGTATGTCACATGTGCATAATTTGAATTTCAAAATTAAATTTGTGTTATGTTACATGATCTAAACTTGTTAGTGTAAAGAAAATTATACATTGACAGTATATAAAAAATTTATCTATTTTTTATCAATGTGGACTTTTAATTTGATGATGTTTAGTGCTAAAAAATTTGTATAAGAAATTAAATTTTTAGTGACAATTATCATGCAAAAAAGTATAAAAACATGAGTTTATTGAATTAAGTAAAAAAAAAATGAATTATGCGTGAGGTTGTGGATAGTCATTGAATTTGTGATAAGGAGTAGGTAAAAGTGCCCTACCTTATTATAAGTCTAGAAACAAATTCAAAAAGAAAATTCTAAATAAAAAAAGATACATCTAATTTTGTAGCACAAATTATTTTTAAGTAATTTTCATTTTGTTATAAGAAGCTTTAAATTTCTATCGAATAATAGATACGTGGAGCTAGCTTTTGAAGAAAAGCCAAACCCAGGATAAGAGACCCCACAAGATAGACTTAAAGAATCTAATCCCCTTGTCATGATTCCTGCTTTGGAAGGGAAGCCTCTAAATAATGCGTGTGTTCATGCGTGTTCAGTAATGAATAGATGGGGCGAGTTTAATAATTTATTTTAGATGTTAAATTCATACTTCATTGTCATTGTTTTATACATGATTTTACTTTATTAAACTGTTAAGTCTAAAGCTTATTTGATAATCTAATTCAATATTTAAATTTAATGGGTTCAAATTTTAATATATTCACTTGTTTGATAACTAAAAATAGAAACATCTTAATAAATTAAGTGACTCTAAATTATTCAACCCAAAATATACTCTTAAAAGTAAGTGATAATCTGTTCACTTGTTATTTAATATAAAATATATCCAAATGCTAAAGATTTTAATATTTAATAATTAAATAACTTAATAGATTCGAATTTTAAACTTCAGATTTTATATTTTTGTTTTATCAATAGTGCCTTAACCTAAAGGTTTGATGATTCTTGTTTGTTACAGGTGACCCTTAGTTTGAAAGGAATATGTTGTTTGCTTTCGTAAACCGCCATCTTCATTGTTTTTCCTTGGTTAATTTCATTTTTCATCCCTAAATTATAGTTCAATTCTTTCTTTGGTCTATAAACTAGAAATCGGGACACTTTTGTCCCTTGCTATAAAAAACAATCTCACATATGGAAAATAGTTCATGGAATTCTCAAAAACAAAATACTAGTCAAGTGAGCAGCAAAATTGATAAAACAACAAACCAAAAATCTCAAAGTTAGAGGGAATAAAGGAGTTTAGGGACCAAATTCAAACTCATGGTATAGTTTAGGGACTAAATTATTAATCCAATTTAAAGTTTAGGAATCAAAGTGGAATCAAGATATTATTTAGCGATTAAAGTGTCTCAATTTAAAGTTTATAGTTAAAATTAAAAATTGAGATATAGTTGAGGGATGCAAAATGAAAATAACCCATTTTTCTTTCTCAAAATTACAAAACTACGGCCATAATCACGATTCGTCCTTGCTGGTCCGTTGTGTAGGAATCCTCGAATATCTTTGCTGGCCCGTCTTGCTGGCACCGGAACCTCCTTTTCTACAGTAGATTGCCGCGTTATAAGCGAGGACATGACCCGATTGTCTACGACATTATCTAGATCATCATGTTCTAATCTAAATTGCACTTGATGGTCAAACATGTCAACCGGTGTCTAACGACAAGTCAACGTACTTTGCAAAAGTTTTATACGTAATTTTTGTCCTAAAAGTTTCTTTTCATCCTTTCTTACATTTTTGGACGAAAAAATCTTAGTCATTATTAGTTTACTGATAAAAGATGTAAGTTTGTATTGGTTGATTCTTCTGGCCAAATAAAAATGTAGTGGCCAAATGGAGAGTTTTCAAAATAATTTAACGATAATTTATTCTACGTCTTTATCTACTTCTCAATTTAGTAAGTCGTATATAATTGTATGTAGTTACAAAAAAAAAATAATAATCATGTGATTAAGTATTGAAGCGATGTCAAAGAATAAAAGTCGTAACAAAATAAAAACCACATCCTAATTTGAACCATTAAAACTTTCATCCATTAAAACTAATATTCCAATTCCAAGGAATCGAATAGAAGATGGGTAGGGGGATGTTCGGGAGATAGGTGGAGAATGATACTAATGAAAGTACATTGCTTAGAGCAGAAAATGAGACTAGCACATGCATCACACATGGCTTTGTGTTTATGATAGGTTTGGATGGTAATTCAGGCAAATGCCCTCTCCACTCATTTCTTAGCTTGAACTGAGGGGAAGTTCCCATGCCGACCGTATCGAACTTGGATCGTCATCTCGAGATATTGATGAATTCTTGAATTTGGAAGGGCATATACTTCGTTAAAGAAGAGTAAATGGAGGATATGGTCGACTCCATCTAACTGTTAACAGTTTTTTGCTTGGACCAAAAAATGAGACGTCCCATGCAAAAGCGACGAAGCAGACCGAGGAAAAAG